CGATTCCGCCCTTCCTCTCTCTACCCAGGGAGGGAGGATCCGGCAGGTGCTGAGTCCGATCCGCATCTCTAGGGTTACAAGGCGCTTTAAGGGAGGAATAACTGGTTCCCGAGGTTCCATTCCGACTAGGCGTGGTGTTGGGGGGAGGCGGAGGCAGTCGGGGTGAGGCTGATGAGACCTTTGGAAGGAAGCCGAGGAGAAAAGGCGGGTGGACCTTCACCTGCATCCTTTAGAGTTCTGACCTAAAATAACCAGGTTCAGGCACTAGGCAGACCCGGGAGCCCTCGGGCTGCAGGAGGGAAATCACCCTTGCAAAGCCATTCCACTCATTCCCTCCTCCCAGGCCTCCACCCTCCAAGTTAGTAGCATCCTAAACCTGCAGTAGCTGGGCATAGGAATCCAAAATTTGTTTCGTTTATTCATTCCTCCCACACCCCCCCAGCTGGGTTGTTTACACCTTCTTCCCCCACCCCATCATTTGTTTGCTACACGTCTTTTTTACTTAGTACCTATGGGTCCTCTATTTGTCGATAAGTGTTTTAACTTGGTGCATATTTAAACCAAACACACTGTAACTAATTGAAAGATAGCTTGGCTAGGGCACTCTGAAGTTAATTTTGTAGAGTTGAATCACCTGAGAAGCTTTAAAAATGACTGATACCCAAGCACAATTCTGAAATTCTGATTTAACTGGCTTGGGATATGAATTGAAGCTTCTGAAAGCCTGGGTGTGTAGATTCACAATCGACTACTACTCAGGCTCAGACTGACTTGGATTGAAAGGGTCCACCTAGAAGGGAAACTTCGTATAGTTTTTCTGCCTGGGCTTGATGGTGAGACTACCCCAGACATCAGAAGTGTTTGCTTTTTCATCTACAGTTAATTTTATATCGGTATATCTGCTTGTTATGGGGTGCTTCCCTGTTTTGGTAGCCAATTAGAGTTTTCGCCAATTACGGCCTCCATCCTTCTTACACGACAACTGAAGGCAATATGATTATTGAGCTGTATTGGCATGCCATTGAAGAGCTTCTATGAATAAACTATTTTTTTAAAGAAAAACGTAATTCTTTAGTTTTGCCAACCATTTTGGTATAATTATTTAGAGGAAGGGTAATGTAAGCCTCACTCTTTTAATCACCTGAACAAAGCCCCTTTGACTATGCCCAACATTTCTGAAAGCTTAGAAAATGTCATTTTACAGTTAATTTAAATCAGACACAGAAGTAAGCCTGGAAGAAGATAAACAACACTGGACTTACGAGTCAGAATGGGCCCGGCTGGTGTGGCTCAGTGGTTGAGCGCCAACCTATGAACTAGGAGGTCATGGTTCCATTCCTGGTCAGGGCACATCGCTGGGTCCTGGGCTGGATCCCCAATAGGGAGCGGGCAGGAGGCAGCTGATCAATGATTCTCTCTCATCATTGATGTTTCTACCTCTCTCTCTTCTATCCTCTCTGAAACACACACACACACACACACACACACACACACACACACACA